CCCAAGTTGTTATGATGCATGTAAACACTCAGCGTAGCCCCTACCAGGCATCAGGCAACAGGAAGTAATTGGTGATATCTGAGGAAGTATGTAGGTACAGCAAAGACCATGTGAGTGAGGAAGGGAGACACCCACAGTGGATCTGAGGAGATGGGTGAGAAGGATCGTGTGCTGGCTGAGAGTTGAGTTCTGTGGAGCCTAGTCGGGGACTGAGGATAGAAAGAGAGGGACAGAATCTGACAGTATTGTTTTTGGTTGTCATCAGGTTGAGTCCTGATTTATTACAACTCCCTTCACAAAGGAACAAAACACTTCCCGACCCCTGCCCGTGATCAGTTACACATCAGATCTTTGATTAATGGGGTTTTCATGAGCTGATGTACAGAATTAGATTGCCAAACCAATCTTCCTAATCTGTTTTACTCCAGAAGCTTCACACCACACCAGTCTCCACTGACAGACAGGTGGTGCTTGAGGGGCATTGACCGGGAATTGAACTCCAGTCTCCCACATGGAAGGCAACAGTTCTACCACGGCACCACCAATGGCTCCTGGCTGAAAATATTAGTGATCCAGAATTAGGAGTATTTGGAAACTTGTTGCACATTGGAAGTCGGTGACTTATTTATCTGAAATAATCTGTAGTGAGACTACCTGTGCTTTAAACCCACTTTACTACTTAGATCAGAGTCTTGGTGTGGTGCTGTGGGTTAATGCACTGGACTGCAAAGTTGGTTTAAAGCTCACCAGCAGCTCCTCGGAAACCCTATACAGGGTCGCTATGGGTTGGAACCAACTCGATGGCACTTCACAACAACAACTGCTTAGATCGGAGATCTCTGTGATAGCAGCTGAAAATTTTTCATTGCTTAGCTTTTGGTTCACCTGCATTTCTTTTGTGTCGAGGCCAGAATTCCCAGGTCAAACCTCAGGGACGATAACAGTCATGGTTATATTCTTTAGTTCTGCGTTCTCTAAAGACTGTTTAACACCCAAGATGTACTTGTTAATTGGTGTTGCATGAAATATATTTTCATATTTCCATAAATTTGCGGAAATGGTGGGTTGACCATAAGTAAGCCATTGTATCATTGTAGGAGTTTTCTGAGGCTTTAATGGCAGCGATTGTCTTCAATGCTTCTGAGACTTATTTGTCCACAAAACCCTTTCACTCCAGAGTGTCCTCTGAGTCTATTTTTACCTACAACACATTTTTTGGGAAATAGCACGGTGACCTACCCAGCTCATGTGGTGCTGGTGGTAATCAGGGTTTCTGTGGGTGGTGTGGCTTGCTTTCCTGAAGCTCAGAAGCAGAACAGCGTACAGTTTTTAGATCAATTTGCCAAGGCTCTATTTTGTTTTACTCTGTTGGTGTGCAAAATAAAAAAAATGTGCAAAAGACAGGACTTGTACCCAGATGACACCTACACAGAGCACCTCATCCATGCAGTCATTCTTTGGAGTGACTCAGCCTCAAAACATAGCGGATCACTTCTCATGATCTTGTCTTGAATGATGCTCTGCCTTTTCATGTATAAAGATGAGGCTGAAAATACCAGCCTTCCTAAAAATAGTATCGGTTTGCTCGCCTCCCTTCCTGGAGTCAGGTCTTGAATGCTCCCTTAAAGTGGAGTCAGAGTCCCTGAGTGATACAGATTTGGTTTACATGTTCAGGGTTGGAGGGTTCAAATCCACCCAGAAGGGCCTCAGAAGAAAAGCCTGGTGAACTACCTCCAGGAAAATCCACCATTGTGTAACTGTGATGGACAGTTTTACTGACATATATGGTATCAGCATGAGTCAGAGTCCACTCAAGGGTTACTGGCTGGTTTGGTGAGTCTTTCCCCTGCTCAGTGGAACATGATTCTAGCATTTTATTATTTTTCATTTTTAAATAAGTTTGGACTAAGCACTGGACTACTAACTGTAAGGTTGGCAGTTCAAACCCACCAGCCACTCCTTGAAAACGCTATACAGGGTCACCATGAGGCACTCAACAACAACAACATGACCTAAATTTTAAGAACAAACTTGAGTAGAATTAGTCCTCAGCATAGGATCCGTTACCTTCACAGAAGGGACTTTGCTGCTCTCTGTAACAACTGTGTAGCTGCAGTGTTTGTGCTGGTGATGCTAGATTGCATGGTGTTGCTTTCTGAGATAAAGACAGCCTTTATTTTTAAGTGAACGGTAGTAAACATTGTAAAAAATGTTTCAGTTTTTGTGTTATTTACTTTTTAATTTTGTCCGAATCATTGATACCAAGCTTATGCTTAATACTTAGTATTTAACTAGATTGATAAGATTTTATTTACTTTTACATTGTTGTTGTTTTTTATTGTTAAGTGCCATTGAATCAGTTCCGGTTCATAGCCACCCTGTATAGGGTGTCCGTGGAGCGGCTGGTGGGTTTGAACTGCCAAACCTAGTTCAAACCGACATTACTATACAGCATTACTGCAGGATTCCATTTTATCTTATTTTATATATAGATTATGTTGGAGTCCTGGTGTGGCACTGTGGGTTAATGCACCAGACTTCAAAGCCCTTTGAACTGAAAGGTCAGCAGTTCAAGCTCACCAGCTGCTCCTCGGAAACCCTCTACAGGGTCGTTATGGGTCGGAACTGACTCGATGATACTTAACAACAACAACATATATTATCCTGGTGTAGCGATGCAGGTTAAGACGCTGGACTGTGAGGTCGGTTTGAACTACAGATTCAGCGGTTCAAGCTCACCGGGCGCTCCTCGGAAACCCTACACAGGGTGGTGTGGGTCAGAACCGATTCGACGACACTTACCAACAACAGCATAGATAGTAGTGTACAGTGACCATTATTCCACATCCTCACCATTTGGCATTATTGAACTTTTGGCATTTTTGCCAGTTGGGTGGGAATAAAATGGCATCTCCTTGCGGTTTTACTTTGCATATTCCTGATTGCTAATGAAGTTGACCAAATTTTCTTGTATTTGTTAACCACTGAAATTTCTTCTTTTAAGAAGTGTTAGTGTTTAGCCCATTATTCTGGGACATTGATTTTCTTTCTTTTTTTCTTTTCTTCTGGTTTACTTGTAGGAGCTCAGAGTCTGGACGTTAATCCTTTCATGATTATATTTCTTACATATATATGTCTCCGTTTCTGACTTTACTTTCGCCTTTTTTTAACTGCCGTAATAGAAATGGACAATTTTAATGAAAATTTTAGGGCACATCAAAAAGTGTTTCTACAAAATCATAGAAACCCTTAATAAACAAAAATATCAAAATGTTGGAATAGACTCGATGACAAGTGGCTTTGTACACTGGTTAACAGAGGCTTTGGGGTGCATGTTGGAGGGGAGATATAGCACCTCTCAATAATGACTAGTGTGCCAGCCCCGACCCCCCTCACTCTGCCCCAGCTCTCTTTCCCCTTGGGACTTGGTCTGTCCTCATGTCCCTGAGACCATTCTCAAACCAAGTCTGTCTCCATGCCATTGTCCCTGGGCTTGGCTCCCTAAAAATCTGCCTCTACAGTCTTTCACACAGACATGAAAATTCCTTGATTTTTTTTCCCTCCTACCCAAGAAAGTCATTATTTATATTATTTCTCAGTAGGCATTTAGCCATTCTTTGTCTAAGCCTCTCTCCCACACACTAAGTCCAAAGTTTTCTTCTTTTCAAAACCCAAAAGATATATCTCCATCTTGGTCTGTACATTTCCAAAAGTAGTATTTCCATTTCTCTCTTTCTTCAAAGAATTCCGCGTTATTTTATTTGTACCACGTCAAATGGCAATTGTGGTATCCTTGAGGGACTCAAAATATGTTCCTTTTCAATGTTCTTTGAGTTTGTGGTAACAGAACAAAATCTGAAGGGACAAGATCAGGACTGCAGAGCAGATGGAGTGAGGTTTCCCAATGAGATTCTTGTAGGACAGCCCTTGGTAGCCTCAAAGAATGAGCAGGTGCATTGATGGGGGGAAAAATGCCTCAGCATAACTTTTTTTCTTACAATGCAGTTTTCAATTTTCTTAAAAATTCTTAATATCCCACCTTTGAGTCCTCCCAAAATGCACATGGTATAATCATTGATAATTCTAATAAATGAAGTCATTCAGGCGCTGTGTAAGAACCCCTTGGTGGTGCCATGCTTATGTTTGGACACCAGCTGGAAGGTCGGTGTTTGGAATACACCAGTCCCTGCTGTGGAAAATCCACTCTGTAAAATGACAGCCTAGGAAGAAGCCCTGTGCGGAATTGCACTTTGCTTTACAGGAGCACTCTGAGTTGGAGTCTACTCAAGGACGTCTAACACAAGCTCTATGTATGTTATTCCTTTCCTCAGAGTTCTTATGCTTGATTTGTTTTCATGTGAATTGGCAGTTTCTGTGTACGTGTATGTGTCTTTGCATGACAGAAAGTGAGAGCGTGAGCATCGTGCGCACATGTAGGAGCATTCATTGGTTGAGCTGCATTTGTGCGAACTCAGAAATTATTTATCAGGAATGCTCTGCTCCTGAGAGGATTTACATTGGCAGCATGATGTGAGGCAGGGGGCGCTAACAGGTTGTGAGCCCTTCAGCCACCTCCCACGTCCTTTCCCTGAAAGTAGAAATCTGAGAGTGTAAGTCTCCACTTTCTGGGGTAAACTGGGCTGCCAGTCTTGGGGGTGATATTTATAAAAGAAGCATATTTGTTATTGATCCAGGTTTCAGTCTGTTGTAGAACTCTCAGGGTATATTGTTTGTGGTGAGATGATTAATCAGCACACCAGTAAATTCCTGATTTAATTGCTGTACAATCTCTTATTTGGAATTCTGCTATCTATGTGTCTGTTCCTCTAGTCTTGCCATGCTGAAGAGTTGTTGTTGTTGTTAGGGCCCATCGAGTTGGTACCGACTCATAGCGACCTTATGCACAGCAGAACGAAACACTGCCCGATCCTGGAGAGTGGGGAATAATTATGGTACTGTGCTTCTATCTTTAATGATTTGTTTCTCTGTTTTCTCTTTAGGGCAGAAAAGACTGAAGTTCTGAGTGAAGACCTCCTTCAGGTAAGTTGTTTTAGCTAAGACATCAAAGAGATTTAACTCTGAGAACTGTCTATCCTTCTCAAACCACGAATCTAATACAGACTGTTGAGGGACACGGTGTTTTGTCTACTACCACAGTACATTGCATTGTGAGTGGAGGTTTCGGTGAAGTCTTTTGGGAGTGATATAAAGTCATTTCAATGTGGGGTCAGAGTAGGAGATGTCAGAGACACTCACCCTCTTCTAGTTCTCCAGCTTCCGGTGCTGTCTCTCCTTGTTTCTCTGAACACATGGTCAGAGTCCTTTCCCATGACTACTGTCCAGTGCCGCCACAAACCCACTTCTCCAGACCTTGCCTTCTGCCCATTAACACCACCCTCTGTTGCGCCACAGGTGGAGAAACGTTTGGAGCTGGTGAAACAGGTTTCCCACAGCACCCACAAGAAGCTGACCGCATGTCTCCAGGGTCAGCAAGGGGCAGAAGCCGACAAGCGCTCAGTAAGTACCAGCCTGGCCTTTGTGTCTTAGGCTGGGGGCTCAGCAGAACCAATGAGACTTAGGTGTGGGGGTTGGGAGAGGTGGTGGGGAGGGGGTCAGAAAATTGTGGAAAAATGGAATTAAAAGATAATGCAATTTTTCCACTAACTTTTTGAAGCCCTCTGTATCTGTTGAGCCCTAGTGTGGTGCTGTGGGTTAATGCGTCAGACTGCAGAGTCATTTGAACTGCAAGGTCGGTGGTTCAAGCTCACCAGCTGCTCCTTGGAAACCCTATACAGGGTCGCTATGAGTCGGAATCGACTTGACGGTACTTAACAACAACATAAACATGGAGTCCTAGTGTGGTGCTGTGGGTTAGTGTGCGGGGCCGCAAAGTTGGTTTGAACTGCAAGGTTGGTGGTTAAGCTCACCAGCCGCTCCTAGAAAACTCTATACATGGGTCAGAACCATCTCAACGGCACTTAACACAAACAACATATACATGTAATGGAGTCCTGGTGTGACTGTAGAATAAACACTGGACTGCTGACCATAAGGTGTACGGTTCAAACCCACCGACAGATCCTCTGAAACCCTATACAGGATAAGTATGAGTCAGAACCAACTTGACATAACTTAATAACAACAACATATATGTGAATGAACCCTGGTGGCACTGTACCATACGCATTGGACTGCTAGCTGTAATGTCAGAGGTTCAAACCCACCAGCTGCTCCTCAGAAGAACCATGAGGCTGTGTGCCCCTCATGGACAGTTTTGAAACCCTCTACAGGATGACTGTGAGTCTGAATCTATTCAGTGGCAGTGGAAGTCTACCTGTGAGGGAGCCCTGGGGGTAGGCATTGCCAACGTCGTTTTACCAGACTGTGGGGTTTCTTTTCTTCTGCAGAAATCTTTATCGATGAGCATGAGTATCTGGTGTTTAGGAAGTCCCAGTTGTGTGTTTACCTTCTGAGGTTTGTACATTTTTAGTTATGCCTGATAGACTCTTAATGCCATCAGTTAAGCCCCCTAAGTTTGCCATGCTGAAGAGAGTAAATTAGTTTTGTGTACAATATTGAAGTATGCATCCTGTTTCATTTTTCTGCAAACGAATATCCGGTTTTGCCAGCACCATTTGTTAAAGAGACCATTTCTTCATATTTAATGGATTTTGATCAACTGTCCGTACATGGATGACTTTGTTTCCAGGTTCTCAATTCTGTTCCATTGGTCCATTGGTCTCTTGTTGTCCCAGTCAGTACCAGACTGTTTTGACTACTGTGTCTGAATACCAAGATCTGAGATTGGGGAGTGTGACCTCTACTATTTCATTGTTGTTCTTCAGTAATGCTTAACTTACCCAAGAACTCTTTCCTTTCCTTTTAAAATTGGTGAGTATTTTCTCCATCTCATTAATGACTGTTGGAGGAATTTGGATTTGGAATGCATTATATCTATAGATCACTTTAGGTGGTATTGATGACGTCACAATGTTATGTCTTCCTATCTGTGGACCAGGAAGTGTTTCATTCTATTGTGCACAGGGTTGCTATGAATTAGAACCAACTCTATGGCTCTTAACATGAAGAACATCCATGCACATATTTTCCCATTTGTATAAGTCTCTTGCTTTTTTTAAGGAGCTCTGGTAGCATAGTGGTTACGAATCGGGCTGCGAACCGCAAGGTCAGCAGTTTGAAACTACCAGCTTCGGGAGAAAGATGAGTCTTTCTGCTCCCATAAAGATTTGCAGCCTCGGAAACCCTATGCAGGGTCGCTATGAGTCAAAACCGACTCCACAGCACATAACCACCACTACCTTGCTTTTATGAAGTAGTGTTTTATAGTTGTTGTTGTTTTTTTTTTTGTATAAGTCTTTTTATATTTGTGTTGTTGTTGTTAGTGCCATCGAGTCATTTCTGACTCATAGTGACCCTGTGTACAACAGAATGAACCACTACCTGGTCCTGCATCGTCCTCACAAGCATTGCTATGTTTGAGCCCGTGGTTGCAGATACTCTGTCAGTCCATCTCACTGAGGGTGTTCTTCTTTTTCTCTGACCTTCTACTTTACCAGCATGATGCCCTTCTCCAGGGACTGGTCCCTCCTGAGAACATGTCCAAAGTACACCAGATGAAGTCTTGCCATCCACGCTTCTAGGGTGCACTCTGTGTACTTCATTCAAGACAGATTTGTTTGTTATGGCATTTTCTAGTTAGATTTGTTCCTAAGTATTTTAGCTTTTGATGAACTACTGTAAATAGTGTTTTTTTCTGATTTCCTTTTTGGACTACTCTTTGTTGTTGTTATTGTTAAGTACCTTTGAGTCAGTTCTGATTCATAGCAACACTGTATACAGTTTCTATGTCTGTCTGTTTACTTTTCTATTTCTGGTAGTATATTGTTAATCTTTTGTTTTCTAGTTTCTAACTATTTTGCCATTTTGTGCTTGTATTGTTTTCCTTAATTTTTCTAGAGTTTTGTCTTTGTTTTCCTTGTTTTTAATCTGTGTTTCCTTGACCTCTTTGAGGATCCTATAAATAAGCCATTTTAATTCCTTTTCAGGTAGTACTATTGCCTTATCTTCCTCAGCAATATTTCCTGGTCCTTTATTTTGGTCATGTGTTTGAGCCATTTTGTCCTACTTCTTTCACAAGGACTTTTTATGAAGAAATATTAAGAAGACTGAAAACTATGTTGTTGAGACAAAGGCCAGGAAAGTTGTACTGATCTTCCTCCCGCCCCCATCAAAACAATGCATGTGGTAATTCTTTGAGGGTAGCAAGGGCTGTCCTCCCAGAATTTTGTTGGGAAACTTTACCCTATCCACTCAACAGCTCTGATATTGCCTCTTTAGACTTCATTTTGTTCCCCAAACTCAAAGGACGTTTGAAAGAAACACAATTTCAGTTTCTTGAGGATGCCCAAACTGTTGTTTTCATGTGGTGTTACGTCAGAGAGTACAAAATTCTTTGAGGAAGAGTTAGATGGAAACAGTGTCTTCAGAAGTGTCTAGCCCTAGATGGAGGATACATTGAGAAACAGTAGCTTCACATTTTGTACTTTTGTTTAATAATGTTTTCAGTGATTTTTAAAAATTCTTCCTACGTTGGTGGCAGGCAAAATAAGAGTGAGAGGAGGAATAACAACCCAGTACTGGACCCGGGAGGTTAGGGGTTTAGAGAGTACAAGAGGCTGCAGCTCCTTGCAGTGTGCACACTGCTGCAGTAGAGGCTTCTGCCCTACCAGCAGAGAGCTTCAGGAGTGGAAGGTACCATAAGGGTAGCCGGCAGTCCTCAATGTTTTGTTTCAGCACATGCAAACTGTTGCTGTTTGTCACCTCTCTTTAACAAACTCATCAGCTCTGTAGCAGTTCAGTTACAGTTTACCACACTGGAACTTTTTATCATCAGCCTTTAAAGGTTTAGGTCTGAAAGCCATGGTGTGGGGTTGGGTGGGAGGACAGACAGGCAGTGGTTTATTTTCCAAGTTAGCAGTGACCAATATTACCCAATGTTCTCTGAGTTCTACTGGATTCCTTATATGATGGGGAATAGAAAGGATATGAATTATGTTTCCATTTTACTCCCTTAATCATGGCAAACTCTTGGTTAGTTCACAGGCTTTTATTTTTATTGAGACTCTCAATATAATAAAAAACATACATACATAATCCTTAGCACTTCTCAACGGAATCAAGTTCAATGAATAAATTGTTAATGTGGGAAATTGTTTCTTCACCTTATTCAACAAATATTTAGGAAGTAGCTGGTCCGCCATGCAAGGCAGTAGGCATGCCAAGGGTCCCTGTCTGGAAGTTTACAGGCCAGGCTAGGGTTAGGATTATGGCTCAGTGTAGGCTAGGCATAGATTTCCTTTTATATTAGGTTATGGTTACAACTAAGGGTAGTGCTAGGGACAGGGTTTGGGCTAGAGCTTAGGAGTAAGCTTGGTCTAGTTTTATGGTTGCAGTTAGGCTTATTTTAATCAATTTCAGTTTTTTCATGAAGTCTACTTGATTTCTTCTTCGTTAGGAAGTTCTGTAACTATATTATTTCCTCTTTTTACTTTGTTTGGTATTTTTCTGTTTTTTGTTTGGGTCTCTATTTTCAGTCTTACAGGTCTATTTTACTTTGAATACTTCTACATCTGGGAGTTCTGGCGCTGTGGAATAAAACACTAGACTGCAAGGTCGGTTTGAACCATAAGGTCAGCGTTCAAACTCGCCAGCAGCTCCTTGGAAACCTTATATGGGGTCACTCTGAGTCAGAACTTGGGTTGAGTTCTAAGTGTTATGAATGTTAGTCTCTGGTTGTCATCTGCTATTGTTGGTTCTCTGTTCAGAGAACTCCCTCTATTATTTTTTGTAAGGTTGGGCTGCTTTTTACAAATTTTTTAAAATTCTGTTTATATGAAAATGACTTCATTTCACCAACATATTTTATGGACAGTTTTGCTGCGTACATGATTCTTGTGGGCAGTCTTTTGTTTTAGAGTTTTATATGTTATTCCATTATCTTCTTGCTTGCATGGTTTCGGCTTAGAAATCAGAAATTGGTCTTATTTGTTCTCCTTTGTTAGGTAATTTTTGTTCTTCCTGAGCTGCTCTCAGGATTCTTTCCTTAACTTTGGTTTTGAAAAGCTCGGTTTTAATGTCTTGGTGTTTTCCTTTTGGGGTCTATCCTGTTTGGACTTTGTTCAACTTCTTGTATGGCTATCTTCTTGTGTTTTATGATGTTAGAAAGTTTTCTTCTAGCAACTCTTGGATACTATTCTGTTTTTGTTTTTAAATATCTTACTGTTCTCGAATTCCTATCACACATAAATTATTCCTCTAGTCAGTGTCCATATGTATTAGACGTTGTCTGGATTTTTTTGTTCTTTTTTTCCAATTGTTCCTCTAAGCAGATGAGTACTGAGAGATTTTCCTTCAAGCTCAGTAAATTAGCTTCCTTTAATTTAATTCTGCTTCTTTGCCTTTTCAGTGAAATATCTATTTCCGAAGTCTTAGTGTTA